TGGATTATTAAAAAAATTTTTTATGTTTTTTATGAAGGACATTTGATCCACAAATTTTTTAAAATTATTTTTTCCAATTTTTCTGGTTATTCGGGGTTATTACGTATTTTGGTTGTTCTCCGTAATTGGGAAGGTCTCCGACTAATTTTCGGCGAGGCAGCTGCTTTTTAAAAAATTGACCCAAAGGATATTTGACCTAATTGAACAAAAAATGTTAAATAATTTTTGAATGAAATATTTTAGATAGGTTAGAGCATCGATCTCGGGGGGTTTTTTGTAGAAGCAGCTGCTTTTTAAAAAATCGAAAAAATTTTTAAATATTAGAAAAAATTTTTTTATAATTAAAAAAATTAATTTTAAACATTTTTTTAAAGGAAGCAGAATTAAAAGAGCGATTTAAAGAAGCCTTTTCACAATTATCTAAAGGAGAATATGAAAAAACAGCCCAAATATGCACTTCAATATTAATTCACCCAATAATGCAAAATTTTTATGTCTCGGATTGGGAGGCTTTTGATTGGATAGAAAATAAAAGAAAAAAGGAAATTGGGTCAATAATACATTCGGATATGGCAAAAATATATTTTAATATAAATTTGGCTTTAATTGGTATTTTGGATAATTCTCTAGATTTTTATATTCAGGTTTTTCTATTTGATTTTTTTAGACTACCGTATTTACTCTATTAGAGCCCCATGGGGCTCTATTTTTCAACCTTCCTCCAAACGGGGGCTATATTAAGGAGGGGGGCTCTAATAGAGACGGGGGCTGTATTTTTCAACCTATTTTTAAAATAGGAACAGGTTTTTCATTCAATTTATAGACTTTCTAACTTTAAAGATCAATTGTAATTTTAGCACAAAAACAAGATAGGTATTGCATGATAATGCATGCAACAGTTTTTCTTTTCTCCAAAAGTTATAAAGCTAGGGTTTTATGTACTTTTTGGATAAAGGATAACATTCAATTAGTTCAATTATTTTTGGAATTCCATTGTTGAGGAATGTAGAGTACGAAGTATATCTAGGAATTTGTGAGGACTGAAGGAAATAATGTAATCTGGAAGATCAGGGGCTTCAAGGATCAGGAGTGATATGAGTTATTAATTGGGTTAACAGGTTGGGAATTAATGAGGGATTAAATAATAAATTTTATATCAGTAGATAGAAAATGGTTCAAGCATTAATAATCTTGTTAAATTTTAAAATGGTTAAGCTCAGGCCGAGAAATAACACAGTTATTAGCCACCCATTATCTAATAGTAAGCTTAACATCTCGACTAACTTATCCTTAGACAGCGATTGGAAAGTAGTTGGTGAATATCAGGGAAAGAGCAGCCGTCCCGATTTCGTTTCACGAAATCGGTAATTTTTCTCGTTCCTGGTGCTTACAAGTACGTCCTAAATTAATATGCAAAGGGAAATCACTTTTTCATTCATCAAAAGAGTTATCAGTTGGCCAATACATCGAGTCTTATATGGAAGAGCTCTCCCTACAGTATTACAAAATTGCGTACGATTTAACTATTTATTATAAACTGTTATTCACACATGATTGAAACATGCGCGACTCTGACTATAACGAGGGACTGGGGAACGGCAACAACATTTTTGCTTAAATTATTTATTTGACATTTGACAAAAAGGGGGGCTCTGTTAAAGAGGGGGGCTCTAATAAAGACGGGGGGCTCTATTTTTCAACCATCCTCGAAACGGGGGCTTTATTAAGGAGGGGGGCTCTAATTGAGAGGGGGGCTATAATAGAGTAAATACGGTATTCTCGTTTCTTTTTTCCACTATTCCCGTTTCTCTTCTTTTTTTTTGTTTTTTGTTGTAGTGGGATGGTGTTGTGTTGTCGTTTTTGGGGGGTCGTGGGTTCGAACCCATTAGTGGAAAACTTTTTTATTTTTGATTGTTTTGAATTATTTTTTGCTTTTACTACCTTTGTATATTTTTTCAAACCTTTTTGGATTTTTCTTACAGTTTTTAAGGGGGATTTGAGGGTTGAAAAATTAAAGTGGGAAGGGGTGGGGTGAAATGTCTCGCAAATTTATTTTTTTTAATTTAAAGGCATTAAGTATCCATCCAGAATTGAAAGATTTATGGTTTCTTGCTGGCATAACAGCTTCAAAACAAAAAGATTGGCGTTCTGCCCGTTTTTGTTTTGGACATTGTGATGATGATATACGTAAATTGGAAGCTTTAATTTTGGTTAATTTTTGTGAACAAAATTTTCTTGGTAAAAATTTTTTTAATTTAGTGACCATTTAATGGGATTGGGTGGGAAAACTAATTTTGTGGCAAAAAAAATTTTTTTTGGTTCAGTGGGAAAGTGTTGTGTTTTTATTTTTTGAAGGTCGCGGGTTCGAGCCCCACTGTTTGGAAATTTTTTTTTTATTTTTTAAAAATTTTTTATTTTTATGAAAGATAAATAGAAAGCCGACTTTATTTAATTTTTAAAAACTGTTTACTTTTTTATTTTTTTTTTTGAAAATTTTAAAAAATCTTAAAAAAATTTTTCTGTAATTTTTTAAATTTCTAGAATGTACATTTACACTCAATAAATTATTCAATATTTATCCAAAACACGAATTTGGTTTATTTATTCATTCATTTATATCAAAAAGTTTTCCTCTTTGGAAAGAATTTTTGTCAAACAAAAATCTTAAAAAAGATGAGGAAATAAAGATTGAGGAATACAAGGTTTTTTTCTGTTAATTTAAACAAAAAATTTTTTTATGTTCTCTATTTTAACTGAAATTCTTTAAAATTTAATTTTTGTTTTAAAATCCTCTCAACATTCTCAATTTTTTCCTTTTTTTATTATTTTTGGTGTAGTGGGAAAACTGGGTTTTTGATATTTTGGGGTCGAAGGTTCGAACCCGCCAGTGGGAAAAAATGTTTTTTAATTATTTTTGAGTGTATTTATGTGTACTTTATTTTCTGGACACTTTTAGAACTTTTGGGTTTTTTTTTTGAATTTTTGGAGAATTTTTGCTAGATTTCAACCCCTTTTCCTGAGATTTTCTTTGTTTTTTAAGAATAATTTTTGGTATTGTTTTTGCTTCAAAAACCATTTCCATTTCTTTCCTAACTATAAAATTGCCAATAAAATTTCTCTTAATTTTTGATTTTTTAAAAAACAGTTTCGCCATATTCTCAATAAATTTGAACAATTAATTAAAACAAATAACTCAAATAATTCTACTCAATTTGGTCTTTTTTCAAGTGTTTTAAACAAATTATTGCCTAAATTTGCACCTTTAAAAATTAAATTGAGGAATGATATGAGGTTTATTTTTTTATTAAAAATTTTGAAAATTTTTTTAAGAATGGAAGACATTGGAATTTGTTTGTGTAATATATTTGACAGAATTGAACAATTTTCCTCAGTTAGTTTTTTTTATTTTTTTAATATTTTTTATTGATGAGGGAACAAAATGGGACTAAATCTAGGATTTTTCTTTTCTTTTCCTTATTTTTGGTTTAAAAAACAATATTGGCTGGGGGTAGTCTGTTCGTGTTTCGAACATACCAATGTGAAAAATTTTTATTTTTGATTATTTTTAACTATTTTTATTTTATCAAAATTATTTTTGTTTTTAACTAGTGGATTTTTGACAAAATTTTTTTTCAATTTTCAGTTTGCTGAACAAAAAATAATTTTTTATATGGATAATACTACAAATAGCAATAATACTCAAGAAGCTCAACAACAACAAGACAATTTAATGCAAATAGATGAAGTTCAAACTGATAATAATGTCCATAATATTTCGAAAAATGTTACAAAAGAAAAGTGTAATGGGGCTTTGAGAGGTTAATTAAATTTTAAAATTTTGAGTGTATTGGGGTCTGACAAATTGTGGTTTTTTTCTATAATAATTTTTGCAATTTGGGTAAATATACTCCTAGTAGGGGAGATTATAAGGCCAAAAAGGACAAAAATAGGACAAAAAAGAAAAAAGACAAGGACAAGAGAACTGATAGTAGGGAGGGATTAACAAGGACAAAAGACTGATTGTGTTGATTTTTTTTGTAAAAAATTCTCGACTCTTTGAAAACTTCTCAGACTCAACTGTCCATAAAATAAGAATTTTCATTAAAAATAATTTTTATTTTCAAGAAAAATCAACAACAACACTAGAACAACAACCAGAAGTAACTACAACATCAGAAAATGAACAATTAAGCACAACGTTTTCATCAGATATTGAAATCATTGAAGAAAAACAATCAAATAATAATAAATCAAAAGATGAATATTTTAATGGAAGTAATAAATTAATTAAATTAAATAGAAAAAGAATATTAAATTGGGCTGAAAAGGTTTTTTTATTTTTTTCTATAAATGGTCTTTTGGTGTAGTGGTAAAGTCGTTAGTTTTGGGTTGTTAAAGGGTGTGGGTTCGAACCCTCGCGAGGAGAATTTTTTTGTTTTTGTTTTAGTGATTTTTAAAATGCCTTTTAATTAATTTTTGAACAAGATTTAAAATTTGTGGTGTAGTGGTGTAGACGTTAGATTATTGTTTCAGGGGGATGTGGGTTCGAACCCTCTCCGGAAATTTATTTTTATATTTATTTTAAATCATTAAAATAAATTTAAAAAAATATTTTTTAGACAAAATTAAAAGAAAAATACTACCAAAAAAGATCTTAACATCAACCTTATAGAGAACAAAATGAAAATTCTGCTTTATTGCGTCGTTCTGAAAGAGTTCAAAATAGTCCTAAATATTTTAATATTGCTGAATCTTGGGCTTGGAATGTACGGTTTATTTTTAATTTTATTTTTTTTATTGCCCTTTTAGACAAAAAATAAAAATTCATTGTCTGTATTCTTTTGACCTTCTTAAAAAATTTTTTGTGGCTTTTTATTAGAGAGGGGTCTATTATTTTTTTATTGAGCTCCTTTTTTGGGTCCCATCTAGGGAAAGATGCGAAATGTCAAAGATTTATTTTATTTTAATATTTTTTTTATTTTTTTCAGTTCACAAAATTAATGAGGCTAGCAAATAATTCTTTACAAAACAGAACTCTTGACCCTTTAATTAATTATAGATGGATAGAAGATTTGCCTAATTTTAATCCATTAATAGAAGCATTTGTGGAAGCATCAAAAAATGAAAATTGGGAATTTTCTCAATATTTGTATAAATTTTTACAATTTATTTGTGAAAAGAAAAATGTTGGCCTAACGTTGGGACAAGCTGAAATTTTTAGGTTATTTAAAATTTTTTTAAAAGTTTTTTGGTTTAGTGGGTAAGTGTTGGGTTTTAGTTATTAGTGGGGTTGTGGGTTCGAACCCCTCTGGTCGGAAAATTTTTTTATTTGATGCTTAATTTATTCCATAATTATTTTAACTAATTTTTGAACAAAAATTAAATTTTTTTGGTGTAGTGGTTTAGTGTTAGGATTTGTCTATTAAGGGGGTGTGGGTTCGAACCCTCCAGTTGTAAAAACTTCAAAAAATATTTTTGAAGATTGTGACTATTTAAATATTTATTTTGAGACTATTTTTAAATTAAAAATTTTTTTTTCCAAATTTTAGACAAGTTTATATTCGTTGGAGTTCAACATTTCTCAATTTATCGTTAGACAATACTCAACAAACTTTAGATTTATTAATTCATCAAATGGCTGCTGAATTGGGTTCTCATCGTGCTTTATCAATTTTACAATTATTTTTTGATGGAGAATTTAATTTTAATAATAATAAAAATATGAGGTTTGTTTAATTTTTGATTTATTTTTTTTTAAATTGGGGGCACCCCCCACTATTTTTAAATTTATTTTGTGGTGATCTTTTGGGTGTCTCCAAAATATTTTCAATTTTTTAGGATTAAATTTTTAAATATTTTTTCCAAATTTAGATCACCAAAATTAAATACTCAAAAATTCAAGGAAGTCGCCGAAATTAATTTTGACAAAAATAAATTAAATAAAAATCAATTGGATTTATTTAAATGGATTTTTGAAAGAATTGCTAATGAACAAAAAGAAGAAAAATTGAGAGGTTTTCTTTTTTAAAAAATTAAAAAAAAATTTTAAAGATAAACCAGAGGGGACTGATATAATGGGTGAAACAACTTCAACAACAACAGATACTCAAAATAATTCTGTTTTGGAACAAAATGAGAGATTGCGGGATTTGGAGATTAGATATAGATGGTTGGTTTGTTGGGGTTTTTATAAAGAAAATTTAGATTACTCTAACGGTTTTTACCGCTAAAACTAGAGGGCTAGGGAATTTTTAAAAAATATATACATACAAAAAATTTGTGTTCGGTTCATTAATAGCCTCCTTGAAATCTGACTCGCGGATACGACCCCTTGCTATAGAGTCGAATCTCGTTTGATCGTACGCTCATATGTTTACCTTACATCATACCCTTGAGTGTCCATACATTTTGTATGGAGAGATATAACTTAGTGTCACATAAGCGAGATCCAACTATAGTTTTATTGGTCAATGGGTCTGGGAGATATGCTCAAACATGGGGTTGTCGGTTTCAAACAGAACCGAAAAAGTTCAGTTTTGGTTAACCAAAGATCCCCCACCACTATTTATAAATAAATTTACCAAAAGTAAATAAAATTTAATTTCACTTCAAAAGGTTAACTTCAAATTTACAACCAAACGAATTAGGCTTATTATTACAACAACAATCATCAGAATCTATTCATTTTGCATATATTTATTGTCAATTAAAAATTGCTTTAAATTTGATAATAAATTCAGAAAATGGAAATAATGTCAAAATATTTACAAATGCAAATTTTGGAATTAATTGTCTTTCAAAAAGAAATTTGGAAGAATTTTTGAAGAAAAAAGTTGGGGAATATGAAATATAAATTGTATTATTTTTATTTATTTAAAGAAAATTTTGTTTTTTATATTGAAAAATATATAAAAATACAAATACGTTAATTCTGGGGGAGGAGGCGTTTTGTCGTGTTTTATTCTGTGGCGTTTTGTCGTGTTTACAACTAGGAGGCATTTTGTCGTGTTTGCACTTTTATAGGGAGCACTAACCATGTTGGTCTGGCTTGCGAATACCAAGTCATCTTAAAAGTAAAACACAGATTTCCGGGAATGTATTTTTTGGTTCTTGCTGAAATGCATTTTTACTTTGATTCTTCCGGAAAAATGTGTTTTCTCAAAATACAAAAATAATTCTGACTTTTCCGGAAAGCTTGTTTTATATCTGATTCCCCCTTTAATTTACCCTTTCCGGAAATGTATTTTTCCTTTACGGAAAATGTATTTTTAATTTTTATTCTTCCGGAAAACATGTATTTTCGCAACACAGAATAATTCTGATTTTTCCGGAATTTTATTTCTGATTCTTAATTTCCCTATTTTTATGTGTTTTCCCTCAAGTTTTGTATTTTTTCCGGAAAATGTTTATCTAACAGAAAACACCTATTTATTTTATACAAGGCAAAAACACAACAATATATAGAGACAATACAAACATATTATAGAAAACATAGCGAAACACAAAATTATTTATTTATCTATTTATCGATGATTGTGTGTCTTCTTTTATCCCTCACAAACATATTCTTTGTTGCCGACTTCCTTTGGTCTTGTTTCCTTCTTTGATACTGCCTTGATGGTTAAAGCGACAACGCCGACAATACAAGCACAGCAACAACAGATTATGATTACGAAGAAGACAATCACAAACGGTGCAGCCTCCTTCATTTCTTTTCGTTCTTTCGGAGTGAGGTCTTCGTAGCTGCGGCGTCGAGCCAGATTTTCGAATCCATTCATGGCGTTGGCAAACTAAAATGAGAGAGAGAAAAAACATTAACTTTAGATTGGTCAATTTTTATTATTTTACCATTCCCCTCCGCGGCGCTTCCTTCTTCAGAGTTGCGCTGGTTGCGGCTTTGGTGGTTGTATCCTCAGTGGTCGTAGTCGGAGGGTCAGTAGTCAACAAAGCATCCTTAAATTAAAAAAAGAACATTTTTTTATTCAAAGAGATAATTCTCTCTCTCTCTCACCTTCTCTCCCTCCGAAGCCGTGGGAACATCATCCCCCTCCATGT